ATCTTATAAGTTAAATAATCTATTTTATATTCTTATAATTAGAAAAGGGAAATATAAAACAGAAAGGGAGGTTAAAAATAGAAAAGAAATATATATATACTTAATAAATCTTAGTAGATTCCTATTACTTTAAGAGAGGCTTTTAAGGTCTATTTTATCCTTATAAATTAGTCTATAAGAGTATATAGCTACTATATCTTTTACTAGTTCTACTATTAATTAAGTAGAAGTATTACTAAATATTAATAATATATTATATTTATATTTTTATTAACTATAAATTTATTATAACTACATAGGAGAGCCTATCTATAGTCTAGTATAAAATACTTATACTAAAGAAGTAGATCTACCTCTAGGCACTATTAAGAAAGGGCAAGGCATCTAGGCTACCTAATAAAAAAAAAAGAGAAATAGTAAAATATAAGAAAACTACCTATACTATAATAATGTCTAATAATAATAATATATATATTAACTAATAGGTCTTATAATTCTTAGACCTAATCTATAAAGATACTAAAATAAAAGTATAAATTAATAAAGTAATTATAAAAAGAGTAAATTTCCCTAAATAAATAAAAGTGTAGTAATAATTAGTAGTGTATTTTTGTATAGAGTATTAAGGCTAGTGATAACGACTATGTATAAATTATTATGTCTCCCTTAATCCTTTCTTAGGTCTATAAATCCCTTTTTTAATAGGTAGGTAGCCTTCCTATTATTCTATCCCTTGTATTAACTACTATATAACTCTTAGGACTATACTACTTAACCTTATTATAATACTTACTTATAAGAACTTACTAAAGAAGCTATTACCTAGTAAGACTATAAAAACTAATAAGATATTTATACTTAATAAGCACTATTTAGTAGTAACTTTATATAGTATTATACTTAATACTAGTGTAGCTAAGAAATTAACTACTAGCTATAAGTAATACTTTACCCTTTAGTGTTACTTAGGTAAAAAGATACCTATAAATACTACCTAAGTAAGTAAAGTAAGTATTTACTTTAGTAGTAGTAATTACTTTAAATCCTTAGGGGTAATTAATATACTTATACTACTTAGTAACCTTATTTTTTATATAATAACTACTAATGCTTTATTTCTTTTTTACTTAAAGAATATAGACTATTATAGTATAAAATTTAATAACTTTACTAACTAGCTAATCTAGGGTAATAACGTTATACTTATTATTTACTAATTTAGCTACCTATAAATACTTTTATAACTACTAGAGAAAAGTATTACTAGGTAATACTTAATAAATAGTAAATTATACTAAATTTACTAGTAATTTAGCTACCTATTTACTTAATAACTTTATAAGTTACTTAAATATACTAAAGAAAACACCTCTCTCTTGTTAATTAAAGCTATTAATAAGTACTACTACTATTACTAATTATACTCTAAAGCTTCTAGTTACTTTAAGTTTATACTATATAATAATAATAAGTTTAACTATAAGATTTTTATTAATATAATATATTTTAATAGTAATAAACTAGTACTTTATATAGTTAATATAGTAATAGTGTTTAATATAGTAAGATTCTTATAATCTATTACTATAGAGTATATATAGGAGGCACTATAGATATACTAGATTAATATATATCTTAGCCTACTTAATTAAATAATAACTAACACTAGCCTAAATTTTTACTTTAGTAAGTTTAAATATACTACTTATAGGTTATTTATTAAAGTAAAAGAAGTACTTATTAAAGCTTATTATAATATTAGTAAAGTTAAGTACTATTATATACCTTTTTACTATACCTATAAGATTATTTATAAAGAAACTAGTACTAAACCTAAAGTTACCCTTTAACTTACTATTAAAGTAATTAATAATACTACTAGCCTAGATAGCCTTATCTTAACTCTCCTTGTTTTTAGTATATACCCTTAAATAACTAATAAGTTACTACCTACTATAACTACTATATAGTATACTAAAGTAATTAAGAAAGTAATAGCTATAGTATACTAAATCTATATAAAGTAATAGCTTTATAAAGTACTAACTATATATAATAGCCTAGATTTAACTAATACTATTACTTTACCTCTTTAATCCTTTATCTATATATAGTATAAAAAAAGTAGCTAGTAAGGCCTATTTTACCTTATTACTAATAATAGTACTACTTATACTATTAATTTACCTTATAGCCTATATAACTTTAGGATTACTATAGTAAAACCTTACTATATAAAGAAAGGTTAACTAGACCTTTCTATACTAAATAAACCTACTAGTTACTCTATATAAGCAGAAGATAATCCTATATATACTATATAAGTATAAGAAGGCCTTATAAAGATACTTAACACTAAAAAAAAGTATATAATACTATTATTATTAATAATAAACTACTATAATAACACTATAGTTACCTATAAAAGAACCTAATACTTATATTTTTTATAGAGATATACTTTACTATAACTATAGTATTCTTAACTATAAAAGAAAAAGTAGACTATACACTTACTATTAAGCTATATAAGAAAAGGATTATTACTACACCTAGTAAACCTTTTAAAGAATTTAATAAGGTAAAAGTAAAAGCCTTTATTAACTATAGTGTATTTTATATTATTACCTATAATAAGAAATCCTATAGTAACACCTATATATTTAAATTATATATAGTCTATAAAGTAAAAGATAAAAATAAATAGCTTTATAAAAAATTATAGCTTATTATTTAAGGCTATATAGATAATAGTAAAAAATAATTCTTATATAGTTGCCTACTATTTAGTAAATAGCCTAGTAATTAATCTTTACTTTTGCCTTTTTACTATTTTAATATAGATTTCTTTTTTAGCTATATAATATTATATAAGTATATACTTAATTAGTAATACTACTAAATTATATTATTTTTACTTATTTACCTATATAAATTTATTATTTTTACCTAGTAAATATAATAATAATAGTAACTAAGCTATTATATAGTATTATAGAGGTAGAAACTTACTAGTAAGTAACTTATAACTACTATTATAAAGAGAATCTCTAGATAAATTTATTAACCTTTAACCTTTACTTATTAATATTATTACCTACTAATAGTAACTTTAGATTAATTAGTATATAAATAAATAATATAATTAGCCTTATAGATAGTAAATTTTCTACTTATAAAGAGAAGAAGCTTAAGAAGGCTACTTTTATAGTAAAACTAAAGTAGTTACTTATAACTAATAACTTTATTACCTTTAATAGTAGTATATTATTTATTAATACTAATAGTAAGCTTACTTTTTACTAAAAAGGCTAAGGTAAAAAGCTTTAACTTATTAATAAGAAATTATATACTACTTAGTAAGATTATATTTAGTAATACACTTATAATATATATATTACTTTTATTTATTAACCTAAAGCTTACTTTAACTATTTAGTTACTACTTAACACTAATTACTAATAGTAGAAGAGATTAAAGCTTTAAACTACTAAATTAAATAGTAAATTAATAACCTTAACTATAGCCTATAATTTTTACTAATTAACCTTATAACTACTAAGCTTTTTATATTTATTAATAGCTTATTTATAAATAACTATAACTTTACTTTTTAACTTAGCTTTATTATAGTTCTTATTAATAAATAAATTATTAAGTAACCTACTACTAATAGTAAAAGCTTTAAGTTAACTAGTAATATTATTTACTTTAGTTTAATAAAGTATAAAAGAGTTATATATAGTATACTTACCTCTAAGGTCTATAAGATAATTACTAGTACTAATATTACCTATATAATTAGTACTACTTTTATAATAATTACTAACTACCTTAAACTACTATAAATACTTATAATACTTTATACTAACTTATACTTACTTTATAAGTGCCTTATAAAGCTTAGTACTATAAAAGAAAAGTAACTTATAATAAATATTATAGCCTTTTACTAGTTATATAAACACTATAAGATTTTTAAAATATAGTAAATTTATAGTAATAATAACCTAGTAAATAGATTTATAAAGTTATTACTAAATAATATATTAGAAAAGCTAGTTAGTAATAGGTAGTTAAAGATATAGATAAATAAATAGGTTTTTTATATATAATAGACTATATAAGTAAAAAGTATTAAATACTTTTTAGCTTTTTATTTTTATTATATTTTTTAGCTATTCTTTTAAATATAAATAATAGGGGATTTCTAGTACTATAGAAAGTTACTAGTGTTATAATATTAACTATTATAGATAAATATTAGAGTTATTAGGTTAACCTTAATAACTTATTACTAGTAAATCCTTAGATATTTAGCTATAGAATTCTCTAGGGATTTATAGGCAATAAGTTAGTTATTTAACTAACTAACCTATAATAATTATCCTTTTTTTTTTACGTATAATAAAGAACTATAGTTACCCCCTATTATTTATTAATTACCACTAATACATATAGTTAACTGTATTAACCTATCCCTTGGTGTTACCAACAAAAACAGATAAGATGCATGAAGCCGATATCTCTATTAGTTCAAGGCTTAGATTCTAAGAAAGCAAATCATCTATTCTTCTTTCAAGTTAGCATCTACTTGGTATAGTACTGAAATGTGATTTGCAGCCGTCGGCCTGGCAAACCGCCCTCATGCAACGGTATAACATTGCCCAAAAAGGCAGGTCATTACACCCATGCTCTAATAAAATAACCCTATGCTGTGTAATGATAAGGACAGTGAAGGAGATTCAGCGATAGCAGACAACTCAGTATTACCTCTCCACTCGTCAAATGCCAGGAGATTGATTGACAACAACCACCTTTCCGGCTGCCCTCCTTGAACTCGGCGCCGGGCTGGACTGAGCAGCTGAACTCATGCTCGATAAGCGGTATCTGAGACTAACGAAGGTCATCTAGAAGCGCCATGCGTTGAAGTTCCTTTGCCACTTATCAGCATGCTGTTCCAAGACTGTATGGTATTGTGTAGGTCAGAGCTCCAAACATGAACCACGAGAAGTACGAAGAACGGCTCGTTCTGGTAAGGAATAACTCTCAAGGCTTCACTATAGAGGCCAGTCTAATCAATCGCAAGTCAATTGTATGAAGGCTTATTTTTCCTGGATAACTCACTACCCTATGGGCTCTAGCTGTCAGATGTATCGCCTGTGGACTACGATGAGAACTTGCCCTTCCCCTACAACAATTTCATCTACGGGATTTCGCTCCCAGGGCCGGCTACGCAAGATGCGTTTACCAACGCGATACCATACTCAGAAATCCGCCCCATGGTGTGTCAGATTAACCATCAGACTGAGTGACCTTGAAGCAGAATGCCTGAACCACGACAAGAACGAGGTTACCGCTACGTATCTCGCGCGTGAAGGTTTGGCAAGATCCAAACCAGAGATGGTCTCCATGGTCCCCGCCATATACACATGGCAGCCTGCCCAACCGTCATCTGCTATCAGGGATAGTATTCTTGGCTAGATTATCATTGATTTCAAGCAAGGTGTGTCTTTCGGAAAAAACTTTCAGGCTGTCTCAGAAAACCGATTTTCTGGGACAATTGGCGGACATCTTCTCCCGCATCCGGCGCGCTGCTCTACCCGAGTCACTTGATTCGTATAGTGGTATCACTGTTGATAATAGTATGTTAATAAATGGGAATATGACAACTCTATATGGCGGTCTATGGAATGGCCACGGCAAATTTTGGTCTACCTGACTTTCCTCTCAACTTGAACACTCCGGGGGTAGTTCAGTTTTTCAGGGCTGGAAACCTAATGGTATCAAGGAAAGAATTGACAAGTTCCTTGCTGCGGGTGTAGATAACATCCTGAATGATGCAGATGTCAATGTCACGTGTGGTACTTCATGCATGAAAATCTGAGTAAGTCTAGCCATATGTATATCTTAGGGTCCTTCGGATCATGTGGTCTGTCTAAAGTCTCAACTTTCTCAATGGCCATGAAGAATGTCTTGTTTGACAGCGCGATTGAAGAGTTACGGGCAATTATTGTAAAATTTATCTTTTCTCATATCTCTCACCCCTGCCAGGAGTCCTCCACAACTTTTCGCACGTAGGGGGAAACATCAACGGAGGTCATGGTCCAGACGTCACAGAAAGCCGCCTTGAAAACGCTCTTCTCACGAACTCACTCAAGGCCACCGATCTTTCAGCCGAATCCCATGACGTCTAGACAGTTGCCGAAGCCTGGGACGTCGCCCTAACCACGAAATCCGGTGAAGCCCAGCACGATCACCGGCATGGCGGTTTTGGCTTAGCTGGCCAAGTTTGAGGGACTTTTTGCCTGCTGGTATCACAGGATCCGATTGGATGGGGTTATTAAGAGAAGTTGAATTGTTGCTGCTGATGTTGAAGTGAAGAGAAACTATCACTAATATCTGCTGCGAGCGCCGTTTCATATATCGCCTGAGGTGACATGATCTCTGTTACGCTATATCCTGACAGTCCTCGTTCAGATTAGCTCACTCTTTGTTCCTGAAGAAGTTGACACCGAAGCAAGCTGCTGATCAGCGGACCTCGGCAGAAGAAGCTTTAATCAAATTGCCCCAGCTTTTTTTGGGATTCCAACCCGATAGCTAATATGTGCATTCGACTTAGTCGTTATTGACAATCTGTAATACGGCAGTTCACCATGAAATACGATCGAATTTCTTCCGTGATCTCAAAGATTCGTGTCTACATACAAAAGCAGGAACAGCAGACAAACCGTTCCGACACACCGCTGCCGTCGACGAATCAGCAAAGAATACTCATAATTGAAAGCTGGTACCATTTGGGGTTGACCATGTGGTCTTGTCACTTGTGTGAATCTGTCACGCCAAAGTTGTGCTTGTATTTGCGCAGCTGGACTTGCAAATTTGAGTCGGCGTATTGATTCGCAACCTGGATTTCGTGCTCCGGGTTTTTGTCAGTCAACTTACCCATCAGCTCCACCAGTTTCTTTTGATCGTGAGAAAACGCCTTTCCGTCAAGCATGGAAGGATCGGCCCCCCTCTCCAACAGCCACTCCGCGTACCCCCAGTCCCTCATGGAACAGGCGTATGTTAAAGCTGTCTGCTGTTCTCCTCGCTCCATGACTCGAACTCTGTTGATATCCACATCATCAAAATTCAACATGTGCTCAGCTATGGCACGCCTTCCATCGAACGGCAGCAACTTATACGAGACTTTCTCACTGTTTTTATTCTCTTGGGGATCTTTTTCTGCGGGCAGTGCGAGGATGAACAGCGGGTTCAACCCGGTGATGTTGACGGTCAAGCTACTACTCGCGCGTAGCATCTCAAACGACGCGGGGTCACAACCTTCTATTGCAAGCTCCAAAGTCGAAGTGCTCTGACGATGTAGCGGAATTTCTGTCGAGTAGTCAAGCCTTTCATGGAGCCCGTGAGTAGCTCGGAGGTCAGGCCAGCAAGATCCGATGTCAGGGTCCGCACCATGCGAAACGAGAAACCTTACCAGGGGCGGGTTCCAGACACAGCAAAGATCGTAGAATGGCCAAACGGGCCAAGTGTCTTGCGTGGGCTCCCAAGCTTGGTTTGGATGCCAGCCAAAGTCGATAAAAGTCTGGAACAGTGGTATCAAATTGTCTCCTTTGGGATATGTTTCAAAAATGGAGGCGCCTCTTGGGGTCTGTTTTCGTTTCGAGCCCGGCTCTGTGCCTTCAAACACATAACCATGCAGAGTTGTACCGATTAGCAGCAAGTACCGGGCAATATGAGGTTGGTTGCCGAAGGAAGCCATTTGGAGGCCGAATTGGCGGACAGCATGACTTGGTATGAACCCCCGGACATAAGCTTCGACGTCATCCTGGTAACCCATCCTGCATGCACAGTAGAAATCCAGTTCTGCAGTATTCTCCGGATGCAACAGACCATCCTGGATAGCGTATTCTGGTCGAGGAAGCCTTGGGGGTAAGGGAGGAAAGTCGGCGAAACGAGCTTTGAGATCGCCAATTTCTTTGGATAGTGCTTCGGGCATCAGGGTTATATCGCGCTTCTTGGCTCTTCTCTCCTCGTTAGTTGCTTGGATATGACGAAAATGCCATGCTAACCGCTGGTGCATGCGATCGCGAGTTTCTGGTCGTATGCTTTCCATCTTGAGTTCTTGAACGAAACTGCTTGCATGGGTTTTGGCGGGTTTGGAAAGCGGGTATCATATAACAATCAGCGACAATCAGAGTAAACTACTCTGACCTCTATGTAAAAGCGCTTGTATTCATTTGGAGTTCATGAACAGTCAGTTGAACTTGACGTCTAGGTTTGCTTTTAGGCCAACAGTGGAGCAAAGACTCGAGCTGCAGGGTTGCAGCCAACATGGAATTCTGTCGAAAAACAAAACGCACATTCTATTCAAAATGCTGGCTTTAATTCATCCCTCAGGTTTCTGTCTTTCAATGTGTCTCTTTTTTGCTCTTTTCCTTTCTTTCTACCCTCAGTGCTAGTTGTTCATTACTTGAAGGAAGCTTGTCATTTGTATGTTCTGCTCGATGTTTACATGTGCTTGCCTTTTTAATTTCCTTCTGGATGTAGCAGACATCAACAGAGACATACGAGTCCAGTCGTCCTTTACTTTTCAGACCCAATGGTTTCGAAGACAGAATTCAACGGAATCCTTTTTGGACAGTTTGTGCGGAGCAGGCTCAGAACTTGTATCTTTCACACGAGGTAAGACAAGTTGTTATTGTTTGCACTAGTGCCGATGCTGTGTAATCCCATGAGATCAAAGGACAATCATTTGTTATATTGATCCCGAACACCAAAATCTTCTGAAGTACTGCTTTCGGCAAAGCTATAGCCCGCAATTTGGGACATCAAGAGCGACATTACACGTCAGTGAGGCCATTGAAACATGCAGGCGAGAGATTTGTACCAACGATTTGCGAATGAAAGGCTTGGCAAAAAGAAATCGCATTCGACTTCTATTAGTCTCGACTTCTATGAGTCAATCAATCTGTTGGGGCTCTATTAGTACCATCTCTGATAGCAACGTTCCTTCAATACAGAAAGCCGATCGACACCAGAATTTCCATCAGTACCCAGAGCTCCGCTGATACCGAAAAGAATACCTTTGCCAATGCGCCGGCTTCTACATATCCCATCAGGCCATGAACCAGATGGTCAAGTCGGAAAAAAGTGTTCTTGTATCATGATATATGAAGAAGAGGTGGCCGATTGCAACGAATGCTGGGGTGACACCTGCGACAGTGGGGAGTCACAGAAGGGGCTGATGTGTCATACGAGAAGTGCAGCTATATTATTACATCATCTCGAAACGGACTTCAAGTCATGTATTGAGGGTATATATACCTTCCTACTCTCCCCTGAAAAGCCCTTTTCTAAATACCTCTCAACCGAATCATGGGAGTCCAATTTTCAATACGGGGTCGCTTTTGATTTCGAATCTAAGTGTACAGCTACCTGACTGTTTCTCTTTCATCTGCATATGCATTCTAAGTAGTCTTCCAGTTCTCGGCGTAATATTAACCGACTCAGTATGTACTGTAGCAGATCGTTTTGCAAGGACAAGCGGGGCATCCGATATTCCTCCCGCATTGGGGGCAAGAGCACCACCACATCTATTTATACATTACCCGGTTTTCGATTTTAGGGTAGGTCGCACAATGTGCAAGCTCAGACACTCTTCTCGGGGTCTCTTGGCTCAGCCTGCTCAGAATTCGCCAGTACACCAGTCGACTTCTCACCGGTACCGGCAGCGGCAGCGGCAGCGGCTTCTTTGTCCTTCTTCCTCGCCATACGCGCCTGGTGCTTGGCACGCTTGCTCTCGTTCTTCTCCTGGTCTTCCCTCATCTGCCGGATGACGGGGCTCTTAGCACGAATCCTCTCACCGTATCTCCAGAAGATGAGAGGGATGGGAATGAGAGCGACTTCGAGCAGCCCGCACAGCGTGCCGGCCCACTGGGGCGTCAGGGCTTTGTACATGGCCGGGCCCGCAAGAGGTAGTGTGCCTCCGAACATGGACCGCATGACAGCGTTTCCTGCCAGAGCGGAGGCCGCGTAGATGCCGTATGCTCCTGCGAGGTAGTTGGAGCCATAGATGAAGGAGATGGTGTTGCCGGCGCCAAAAGGAATGCCGAACGCGATGGGGATCGCCCAGTGGATGGTCGCCGGCAGGCATGTCCAGGAGAAGACCAGCTGGCCGATGGGGGTAAGGACGGCGCCAATAGTCATGACGCGGGCTGTGGCCTCAGGCGGGACACGGCCAGTCACAGGGTCCTTGGGGTGAGCGTTGATGATGCGGCGGAAGAGGGGCTCGCAGCAGATGGCCAGGATGGTGCCGATGCCGATGCCGATGAAGGCAAGTCCGGAGATGCCAGGTCCCCAGCCACGGTACTGAGAGAAGACAATCGGGTACGCGACGAAGCACAGATAGAGGATGCCGTAGATAAGTGAGATCCTGGCTGCAGTCAGTTTCGGATTACATGCATGGCGTATGCCGGGTTTCTTACCAGAGGTTGAAGAACCACAAGATGGGTTCCGTGAAGCTTAGTATGAAGGGCCGGCTCAGGTTCAGCTTGATGAGATGGAGTTTGGAGACCTTTTCGTCGTAACGGCACCACCAACGCGGGTCGTCCATCTCCTTGCGTATTCTTGCTGCCTTGCGCTGAAGAATGATGGGTGCGTACGTCTCGCGGATGGTGAGCATCAGGCAGATACCGACACCAGCAATGATAAGGACGATCCAGTTGGTCCATCTCCAGCCCATGTACTGGAAAACGAAGCCACCGATGAGAGGTCCCGTCACGGGCCCGTTCAGGGGTGCAATACTGTAGAAGGACATGGCGAGTGCGCGGTATTCCTCGTTGGATATGTCGACTATAGTTCCTGGGCTGTTGGCAATCAAGGCGGCTCCAAACATTGCGCTAGGACACGGAGGTCAGGTCGTAACACGGGACGAGTGAGTCAAGAAAGAGGCTTACCCGAAGAAACGGACAACGATTAGGGTAGTCAGGGACTTGGCAAGACCACAAGGGATAATCAGGAGTGATGAGATGGTGAAGCAGCCAATGTAAACATATTGCCTGCCGTACAGCTCACTCATCGGCGCCATGAGCAGACTGCCAACCGCAAGGCCGAGGAGGTATGTGGTGACACCAAGCGTTGCGATGACCTGCGTCGAATGAAACTCTTCAACGAGACCCGGGATGGAGGCAGTGTAGCTTGTACTGTACAGCACGATGACCCAGGTAGACAGAGACACGACAAAGATGGTCCAGGAGCGGTACCACAACGGCCAGTTCTTGGGGTTCTCGGGGTCGTCCGGCTCAAAGACGACTTCGAAATCCGGGGGCCGCGACGCGGTGCTGCCGATACTCGTGCCGGTGCGCGTGTAGGTGATGGGCTCTCTGGCGGCGTGCTCGGCCTCCGTCTCGAGGTCGACCGTCAAGGCGTGCTCGAGGGGGTCCAGCGGGTCGGTGTTGGTGGACGAGTGGGACGAGGCCCGGCTCCGGTGGCTATGCCGAGACTCGGCCCCGTTTGACGGACGCAGTGGCGGCGAGTCTTGTCCAGAACTGGTCGAGGCTGCCATGGCGTCCTTGGCGGCCACGTGGGACCCTTTTTCCGGATCCAGCGCGGCGCTCATGGTCAATGGACGCGCAGTGAGGAAACTCTAGACGCTACGTGCCGCGCCGCCTTTCCGCGCAAGATTTGGTTGTCGATCAAGGTTGGAAAGGGAGTGATGAAGTTCCGCGGGAATGAGATGGCAGCAGGCCAGAAGCAGCACGACGAGCCACGGGGCAAGAGCTTTTTAGACGTCGCGGTTTCTTACTGCATTAAACCCAGTGCGGGACGGGACGCTTTTCCCATCTGTCACCAAAAGGCGCGGATTGATGAGCGGTTGTGGATGAAGAAACGGGTGTGTCAGAGATTTACAGATTAACCAGTATCCGCCCCCTTCCTCTAGCAACGCGGTCTGTTTTCTTGAACGGGGGGGAGGGGGGGGGGGGGGGGGGCTAAGGGGAAGGGAATAGTACCCGAAATGGATGTATGGAAGGCAACCCGCATTCGATCTTACCGACACAAAAGGGTGTTGGTGGGTGCGATGTGGGTATTCAAGCACGTAATCGGCGTAAGAGAGACGGGAAAACCCTGGGCAATCATCCCTCCCTCCCCTCCCCCCCCGGGGATAACGGCGGAACTAAGGTCACATCGCATTGCTTCGGGCTAAGATAGTCGCTTTTTCTTGACCGATAGGAAGGGTCGTTGTGGGAGATACAAATGATGACTCTTTGACTCATTAATGCGAGTGAACGAAGAATCGCCCTGAGACTGAGACACAGGCCACTCGAAACCGAGGTCTGGAATTCGGGCAAAGTAGCCGTATCCCGCGGGCGAGGATACGCTGCCGCCAGCCGTATCACAAAAGGGGCCAGACAGGGCTCCATACGGTGAAACGGGCGAGCGAGCCGAGGTTCTTTTCCGGGATGCCCCACACCCTCAAATCAACGAAAATCAGCACTTGGAGCAATGTGCTGTGTTGCCGTGTAAAACGTGCCGTGTGTAAAGCGTGACAATAGCGACTTCGCACACCATGCAGCCCGCTATTTCCGGCGCCTGTCCCTTGTAGGCTGGTCACCCTCGAGACGTCGGCGGGGCGCTGGCCGCAAACCGTAATTCGACTGGGGGCGGCGTTGGCAAACCCATGGTCTTAGCGTAGCGAACCAGGTTTGGCTAAAGTCGGCGGGTGGTCTGCTGCACTCACGAGATTCTTTGCGTGGTGTGATTGCTGACTGCTTGGTCTGACAACGGGCATTTGCTGCGTTTAGTATTACTACTAGGAGACGGGCCGAGATGAAGGCCCCTACGGACAAAATCTATAAGCCAAATCGGCACCGAAGAGTGGGGCGGAGTGCAGAAGTCTCGTCTCACAGGAGTTGGGCTACGAATGTGCAAGCTCCACTTCGGCTCCGATCTACGGAGAAAAGGAACAACACGATTGGCCATCCGATGTCCCGTTGTGAGTCCGGGGAACCGAAACTCAAAAAGAGCATTCGGTAAGAGCTATGTGACTTCACTTCACCAAACGCGGAAATGTGGCGTTATTTATCACGAGATATATAGGCGCTAGTTACTGCCCCCGTAACTAACAGCGTCGTTTTTGATTACCGGTACGTGACATTATACTCCGTAGATAGGTTGAATCCCCAGGCGGTAAGTACCATCGCCTTCCCGCTGCAGCCGATGTGACTAATACTGACAACAGGCCCCTAATGCCTAGACATTCGAGTATAGCTTAAACAAAAGCTACAAGGTTACGCTTGTCGGTACGTTCGACGCGGAAATAATAATTTTCGTCTCATTTTCTACTGCGAGGAAGCATTGCCGGGGGTTACTTCATCAGATCTCAGCCAAGAGTAAGACTTTGTTCACGAGAGGGGGAAAAAAACGGTAGCAATACTAAGAAATACATGGCATTTTGAGAAACGTCACTGAGTTAATACCTAAACTTATGTTACAAGAATCGCCACTTCCATGTCGAGATACAATGAGACCGTTATTTTTGGTCCATGCACCTTGTGATTATGTCAGCCCGAGCGTAGGGCCATGCCAACCAACCATGAGGCGCTCAATAGTGGAGACAATGCTATAAATCTCATGGCTTATGTGAGAGTCGCTTCCTGGAGTTGTGATTCAATATGCTCAAGGACTGAAGCTCTACATCAGTACAAACGTCTCAACCCTACGCGAGCACGTTTATCTCTTGCAGTCATCTGCATGGTGCGGGGTATTATCCTCTGTCCAAGGGCTTCTCTGGAGCGTAACTTTTAAATGATTAAACCTGTTGCTGAGCAGCCAAATCTTCAAGATATTTATATTGACTTCATGTCCCTATGAGACATCCGAGAGTTCTAACAACCCTGACAGATCTTGGCCAGACGATAAGAGGCCAGGCCAACCAGCCGTTTCTGGGGTTGCTTTGAGACGAGACGAGAGGAGGGTCGCGCACGGTATTCCAAGGGGAAGCCGCACAAGGCAGGAGCAAACAAAAACATCCCAATAGTGAAGTTGCCGGGGTCTCCTGCCCCAAAAACACTGTCCCCAAGTCCTTTTTTCCAATCATCAGACCACCATTAGGACATGTCGGCAAGAACGAATCTCCCACCATTCGAATGTACATATATGTTCAGACACAGAATGATCGTGATGCATAGGTAAGAGAGCGGAAGAAGAGGAGGCCCCTATCCTCAGCACAACAAAGATGCATACTCTTTCAATGGTAATCTTTGAGAAAGCGCAAGGTGAGAAACCGCGGGACAAAGCTATTTCCTAGGCTTTGGGGCCGAAGGTAGTGTAAGTGATGACACCAAACTGCCCAGGAATGATCACGGTTAAGCAGCTTCGCTTGATTGGAAACGGAGACGAGTGGTTGGTTCCCTTGCATGACTGTGTTGTGGGTCTATAAATCTTGATCACCAGTCAACAAATCAACCCGTCTGTTCAAGTGCATCCTACATCAATCAGAAGATTGACAGGGTTTTTTGCAGTGTAGTAGTAGGCAGTAGTATTTAACGCCGGGGGATGCAAAACTAGTGGCAAAGGGCGCGGTTTCTTGCAGTGGCGCAGCCGCCGTGGCTGCGCCTAGCCACCAGGCAACAAGATTCAGTTCAATGGTCAAAAGAAGAGACGCGCCCACACGCGCGGCCCTCTCTATCTTACCTCTGGCTATCGTGATTCCCGTCCATTTCCATGTTTGCTCTCAACTCACAGGCTTTTGCTCTGCGAGTGGAATGAGGACGAGACGAACTTTGCTTGAAGATGCAGCCCGAGTTCACAGGCCCAAGCCATGACTGGTGGCAGCGTCCATCTGACGGCAGTTTGGTTCCGTTGGTGCTCCAGACCGGCGGTAACCCACAGCTTCTGCCCGAAACGTCGAGATGGAGTCGTCTAGGATCACCAATCTCCCGGGTTTCGCCTCTTGTTCGCGTTTCGTATTGGATTGGCTCCTCGTTGTTCATACGCGGCACACGCAAATATGACCTCTGCATTAGGTCAATTGCCTTCACAGCACTGAAGCTGGTCCTCGCATTGCCTGTCATTTGCGTCCTTGTATGCGGCCTTCCCTCACCCGTCGATTTGTGCTGACAGATTACATAGGTGTTCTGGGCAGGAAACCTAGAAAACTCATTGCCACAACTTGATGATGCTCCGCATTTTATCGTCGACTTGCGTTATGACACTGTTCACGTCCCTCGGTCAACGGATGATGGTTCATCGTCGCATCCATACCAACCCGCTCCAGCACATATAAACGATGGAAGTACTGAGGACCATACAGGATCATCTGAACAGCCATACACAGATAACATCGGATTGGGTCGGGCTCTCCCTCCCTCGGACCGGAGACGAATTGTTAGTTCGCCAACCTTACTCCGACCGAGGTACCTTTGCTTCGTCAAGGATTTCGACAAAGGCATCTACGAAACAGTTAAAGTCTCCGAATATCTGGAAAATCATGGAGACGATATTGACCTGGAGTTCGTGTTTGTCTCATATACGCGCATGCAGTTCAGAGTTGCCACCGAGGTGGAGATCGACAAGCACGAATACCCCGATGAGGCCACCAGAGAGGCCAACAGGGAGATTGCACGACGAGACAGACGAACGCTGGCCCAATGGGGCATCGACGCAGCCAAACGTGTGGGGAAGAGGGCATTCTGGTTGGACTTCGAATGCGTCCGCAATGACGACGGGGTCGCAAGATCCACGAGCAGCAGCGAGGATGTCTACCGCATTTGCGACATTGTCAGAGCCGCGCACTCCATGATCATTGCAATTGGGCCATCCGCTTCCGACAAGGTTGCGGCACACATCGACGGCCGCGAGACTCCGGGGTACAGACGGGAGGAAGTGACACCCTGGCTACGACAATGGGGTTCACGTCTGTGGACGCTTCCCGAGCTACTACTCTGCCCCGCCGAGTACCGTATCAAACTCTACGTTCTCGGCGATGCCGCAGAGCCAAAGGCAATAGCCAAACGCAACTTTGCCGAGCGGGCCTGGGACGACGCGGAAGCCGTGAAAGAACTGGTCGACCACTTTGAAGGCTCTGCGATCCTCGCCGAGCTACGTCTCATAGAGGCGGCTTTCTCCTGTTTCTCGAGGCGTCAGACAGACCAGTTCAGCCAGGGAGACATCGCCTACGCCACCATGGGGCTCTTCCCTAGCCGCCATAGGCCACCAGTCAACAAAGAAGACTCCGGGTTCCAGGCCTTCGTCAAGCTCTCTCTCGCCAACAACAGCGGTGCTTTCTTGAGCCGGTTGCTTTGCTTGGCCCCTGGACAGGGTGCTCCGTGGCACCGGGTCGAAGACCGCTGGGGCGTCGCACTCAGCGACATATACCCAATCAGTAAAGTCTCTGGCCCAACCGACTCCGAGGCCATCATCTTGGATGGCGTCTACGGTGCGACTATTCACTGGGATAAGATTGACGCCGAGCCCTGGTTTGGACGGAACGCCAAGTTCATCACCCCTTGGTTAGCGGTTGTCCAGATTAACGTATTCATCGTATCTGTGACGTTTCTTGTATCTGTATACACGGTGGTGAATATTAGTGAATGGATGAGATCACACGATTCGTGGCAGATGGAGAAGGTTTTTTTCAGACTCTACTCGTGGATTCTTCCTGGGGTCGGTCTGATTGCCGGAACATTGTGCATAGTGGTTATCGCTTCGCGGTGTCAGCCCCAACCACCACATAAGTGCCGCCTTTTCGGGATGGAAGGAATTGTGGCTGCGAGCAAAGTGGCAGAATATCTCTGGGGCTTCGACCACGGTGAACTGACGACAGTCACATCTCTGTCATACAGCGATACTAGGGATTCCCGACAGCCTCTCATGCCATCTCAGTGCTTTCCCAGACAAGAAGAAAATGCCTTCACTCTGGTAGACACCAAGATGATGACGGTCACGCATCTCCATTGCAGCCACCCCCCAGTCGCCATGCTTGTCTGCGGCTCAGAGAGGGGAGTGCAGAGGTCGTTACTCTGCTCATACAACTGGAGCACACAAACCTTCCATCGGCAGGCTGTTCTCAGAGTGGCGCGTCAGGGCCTTGACCAACTGCATTTGATTGATGGAGTTCGATTTTCGCTGGCGCCTCACCCGGATGCCAACACCAGCCTGCCCGAAGACGCGAGCAACTCGACCCTGCGGAGCCCAAGGCCACAGTTCGATAATGACTTGGAAGTTGGAGCTGGGAAACACGATTGGAAACTCCAATCTTCTCAGAGACTCTGCCGCACTTGGAAGACAGAACTGTTGTTTCTGGCCCTGTGCTTCGTGAGTTTGCCGCCCATCCAAGGGATAATAGCTAAGCTCTAGCAGGCTAGTATCAACACCATTGGGTCCTATCATGAGGTCAGCCGCATTGGGCTGCTCTCCTACAGCCTTTCCTTCATCGGAGGTCTGCTGTCAGCCCTCGTACTACTGTGCTACCTGCCACTTACCATCATCGCTATGTGTACATTCGCCGCGAGTGGTGAGTTAAAACCCCTTCATACTTGAACCCCTAACTTATTAGTGCTCGCAGTTGTCTTTGGAATAATGAGCATGGATGCAACACTTGGTCGCAGCGCCATTAACACCCCTCTCGCCCTGGCTTGTGAGTTTGCCAAAGGGAACCTTGCCTTGACACTGATAAAGTACATGCTATCATGGTATCCGACCAACGAACTTCCGCTGCGGTTTTTACTTTGGAGCGTCTTCAGAGCAATGTTTCTCAATAACAAGGGCTCATCTGGCATTGGTATCTATATCAATGTGCTGACTTTTGTGTTAAACATTATGGCTCTCATTGTTCTCTTCTCGACAGATTTCATGAACCTGATCGGCGGCCCAAGAGACATCACTTGGCTTTCTCCACATCAGAAGTTGTACTATTCGACTAGGTCGGCTGCATCTGAACTCCAACCTGTCACATGGAAGCGTGTGTGGCGCGATCGACAGGCAAGTTGTACTAGGACTCTCCGACACTTTGCTTACACTAACACTCTTCTGATAGCAACTGGTTATCAAGTTGATACAACCGTTTTCTGTATTTGTCATATCTCTTTTGAGATCTCTCAGTCTCACAGTTCCATATAAGAATGCATATATTCCATATGCATCGGAAGCTGGAGCTGTCGTCTTCATCGTTCTCGCCGGGCTTGCCGTCTACAAATTCCCGTCAAAGCTTTGTAAGTGAAATACTAAGTGAAAATAGTAACAATACAACTTCTAACTCCGCTGTTGTAGTTCGTACGGTGGCTATGTGCTCCATACTTTCAGGTGCTGCTACTGTGATCGGCACATCGAGTCTGGGAAGCCACTTACCGTTTCCCCTCCATCTCATTGGGCAGCTGCACCATGTCGTACCACCCCGTAAGTCAAATTAGGGACAATAAATGTATCATTGTCTTGAAATAACACCAATTGCAGTGCTTTGGGCGATGGCAGTCCGCGAGACGCCGGCCTGGGCCGAAGCCTTGGGTACAGTCTCTCTGTCATTGATCGGGACGGTCATCGGTCAGACAATATTCTTCTTTACATTTCAAAAGTTGAATACCAACCCGGTGCAACTAGCCCTTTTCCTAAGCCAGGTCACCGTCTGGGCTGTACTTTGGGCACGTCAGCAAAAGCTCGGTGGGGTAAGGTTGCCTGAAGACACACAGGACAGTCGAACACCTTTAGAGGTGAACCACAGCGAAAGCGGGATAGAATAGCAGTGAATAGTCATTTTGTGTTCTCGAACTTTGAATGATAAGGGAAAGTATTCTTCTCCACAGAAGCTTTGTTGAATTAAAGCCCCGAGTTTTGAAATGTCACATGTCCTTGACCATTAGGTGTCCTCGTCTCGGAAGGCTAGGCAAGGGCGAGGTAAGACATTCAAAGGCGTGTGCTCAACTTGTCGGGCGGGTTGCGGAACGCCACACTAGCCAAATTGATTCCAAGGGAAGCAGCAAGCCCCTTAATTCTAATTCGAGTTTCTTAATACTTGAATGGACTCGTCTATAGAAGTTGGTTCCAAACGCACTCTCCATCCGTTATATTCTCACCGAACGAAAATGGGCGTCCCGGCATGTTACTCTACAAGGCGTCCCGGTAGTCATCATGCCACTGCTGCCGCTATACTACTCTTCATCATACGGGCCTTCTGGATCAGAGCCGAGAATCTTGATCCCAGTTTGCAAGTACAAGTCACTCTCTGGGTGCCAAATTCGCGCGGGGACGACTATTTCGACCACCCGCCTCTTGATTCCTCGGAGGTAAGATCGGTCTGCAACGGCCAAAAATGGGACTCCAATACAAACACAGAGGTCGTATTCACCTGCGACAACTCGGTTGGTGAAATTGTAGACACACGGAACTCGATTCTTAACTGCGTACGGTATGCAATACCGGCAGGAGGATCCCTGGTTATGCCCAGGATCATTGTTCGCAAAGGTTCAGGTACCAAAGCCGATATATAGACGGGTGAGCGAACAGGCGCCTGATCACGGTAACCCAAACTTAAGCCTACAGGTAAAGGGAAGCATGTGGGATATACGTTCGATGCGGACCACTTCATTAAGTCCCTTCGTCTCTCATGTCCACTATTACGCTTGTACGATGACGTGGAAGAAGTTTACAAAGCGCTCGGGCCGCCCCTAACATGATCTCTGGGCCTCTTCCCAGAATCACTGATAGACGAAGAGAAGATACCAAGCACAGGGATTCAGCATCCTAATAGATGGAGGGGCCAGCTGTACGACTGGCTTGGGCAAGTACAAACTGATGTCTCTCCTACTGGAAGACCTAACTATGGCGGGCGTTCGTATCTGACTTTTCCGATATACAACGACGGCGAGCTTTGGAGACATTCTGAAGTTTAGGCCTGACGCTCGAGAGCTTGCAACAAAAGCGTTGCTTCAGATGGCAAAGATCTCCGGCTCCAAGCTCACGCAACCTGAGGGCGATGCAGCACCTAGCAAGCCAGGTACATATGCGGGCACCATCCCTGAGAACGCCTATCTTGGCATATACCTGCAAGAGGGGAAAGACTCTGAAGAAACGCGGACTCTGTTCGCTGAGACTAAGCAGACCGCTGACTACCTCGAACAAGCCGTTGATGCGGGTCTTTCTCTCGTCTACATAGCAAATGGCGACGCCACACAAGTCAAAAGCCTCAAAAGTGAGGCCAAAGCCAAGAGCATCACCGTCGTTACGAAACAGGATTTTCTTGGGAACAAGAATGGTTTGGAGAATCTCCAAAGGGATCAGCAGGCTCTGGTGGACTTCCTGGTTCTGTTGAGCGCATCGCATTTTAGCGGTGCCGCGTGCTCGAGCTTTTCATGGAACGTGGCACTAAAGCGGCATTTACTAGTTCAGAGTCCAAGGAGGAAACACTGGGATGGACCGCAAACTTTCAAAAATCGACCGAACCACCTTCATGGGGAGCCTGAGAGTTGCCCTGAGTTCTTCGCATGCCTCTGGCCATAGAGCAACAATCACAATCACATCACTACTCAGTTTGGTCATATTTGAAGAGAATTGCTTGGTTAAGGAGTTTGATGGACCTGAAATTTTACATACATCTTGGTCAACAAAGGAACTTGGAACGCTTTCTGTGCTGGAAATGGCCATAGTGCGGCATCACCATCACTTCGCAGTTCATGAGATGCTAGAGATATTGAAAAGGTGCAGGACCGTCAACTCATGAAACGAGCAATCTTTCCAATCACACTGTAACCTAGGGGTGACTTTTTCTACCTTTCGTCTCTTTCGTCTACTCCAAACTGGTTTTCCCAGCAGGAAATTTGAAATATTCAGGATATCGCACGACTTTTTACGGCCTTCCTCCCCCCTCAGCCTGACTTTTGGGCGTAGAAGCTCTCAAAGAGCCTCTCCCGTTCGACGCAGCCGATTTTCTTGATGTTTTTGGCGACTCTCTGCTACTCAAGTCTGTCATCGCCAGCTGAGAGCCTCTGGCTGCTGCTGATTTTGCTATATCCATCAACGATTTGACCGTCATCACTGGCTGTAACGAAGGCATTCCCTGTCCCTGGGGGGTCTTCCAAGAAATATAGGATCATGTTTACCATCTAACCAATTGAAGACGTCGAAATAGAGGGTGTGAAAGACTCCCTAGGTGCTAGTGTGAAGGATCTAGATGGACACATTGTAGCCCTCGATCTTGGCAGTGTTCTTGGCTCAAGATTGTACCAGATACGTGCGGTGACGCTCCATCCCAGTGAGATCGACCATATCGTCAGAGTTTCCCGACTTTGTTGTCGTGGAAGACCCTGAATTGGAATCCTGACAAGCGTCTCTGGTTAATTTGACGGTGACGAAGTGGCCTGGAAGCTTCTAATCATCAGGCAACGCGGTTCATCCCTTAATCTTGAAAGGGCTAAGTGGCCAGTTCTCGTGAGATTTGTAGCCGCAAATATTGTCATTGTAGAGGGAAAACATATCTATGTACTTTGGCGTTAGGCAAAAGATTATAAATAACATAGGCTTTGTTAACTAAGCCGTCTTTACATGTCTTAAAGCGGCAAGCTAGGTTCTAGGGTATCCTGCTTGCTATAAGAGAAGATAACAGAAAGGGTAGAGGTCTGTAACAAAGCATAAGAAGAATAAACAGATATAATTCTATTTAAAACTATTTCAAGGAAGAGATTTACTAGCTTACAAGCTTGTAAGGGATGACGTTAGTTAAATAGGCTTAGCTGTCTATTACAATTCTCTGAAGCTAGATGTTCCTAAGACCTAATTATAATCTAAGGACTACTGCTTGTTCTACGTTATCTCTTTTACTAATAAACATTATTACTATTAACCTCCTTATCCCTAGACCTTTAACTTATGTAATTTAACGAACTATAATATCTCCTTAGTATATACTCTAAACATAGAGGCGCTTTAATACAATCCATTCAGCTTAGAATAGTTATTGCCTACCCTTGTCTTCTAGTAAACTTAATAGAATATTATGTCTCTTGCTATTAATATTAATGTTAACACAAGTAGGATCAAGGCTATCAATACAACCTATTGAGACTAATTTACTTACCTATTCCTATATCTTTTACTTAGTGTAGTAGGGTGTCCCAGTGGTCATATGCTAACCTAATATCATTCAGATAAAGTTCTATTAATGAGCTGTTTGCTAGAGCTTTTAATGATTTCGAGACGTACGTACACAGCCTGCGTAGATGTAGCTTGCTCAGAGACTCCAGACGAATCTCGCCCACTGGTATGTGGACGTCTGTAAAAAAGAAAAAGAAAATAAAAAAAGCCGAGCGAAGGCTGTTTCAAGTATGGAAATGCGTGCAACATCGCCAACAGGTTCTCCTTCTTTGATACAGGTGAACGGCTTTGAGCTCAGGTATGGTTATATGCATCATAGGCGTTCTCTTATCAAGAGACGAAGGGCTAAGCCGGACTTCAACGGTAAGCTGGCGAACTGAGGGAGTCGAAGGAAGCAGACAGAGAAAACTCTGCGCTGCAGGCACCCAGTTGTCATCTCCTCTGCCCGTCTTCCTGGTTTACCAACGGTTCCGGCAAAACTGATGTGTAATAGCATTTCTTCTCTTTTCGTCTGAAATTTCTTTCCAGCCCATGGCTGCACCTGCCTTCTTTCTTGCGTACCTCCCAAAATGCAAAACCCCACCAACAAACTCACCTTCACCATCTTCTTACCAAAACTTCACCTCACACAAGACCTGCCTCAAACACAACAATCGAACCACCGCAGTGATGGCCTCAAACAATCTCAAAGGCCTCACCAAGGCCATGAAGGATCTTCAGCTGCCAAAGGTCGCCAAGAAGAGTCTCCCTGCTATCCCGTATGAGATAACTCTCCATATCCTTGAGGCCCTCATCAACCTGGCCGACGACCCAGCCGTCACCCTCACGTGGTGGCTGACCTACGAACGTACAGCCGATACCAAGCTAGTCGTCATCGACATGCAGCCCTGCCCGAATTGCAAGACGCCTCCTGTGAAGAATCGCTTTGCTAAGCTCCGCTTGCCCTCCCAAGTCAACAGACAGGGTCGCGCTCTTGTGCACCGCCGGTTCCCTCGCCTCTACATGATTGACGACGCCAGCGGCATGGGGAAGCAGTATGCACCGGTCCTGGCCTGGGTCCAACCCGAGACAGACAGTTTTGTTCCCTTCTTTGGTTCCTACCAACTCGAGTACGCCATGGCTGAGCACTGGTACAAGCAAGCCGTCGTGCTGCCCACCCCTGCGGGCTTCGAGATGCTTCAACACATACACCACCTTTGGCTTCCCAGCCTTGACTTTCTTTCAGGACTGAACCGACCCGGCCTCCGAGCACTCTTCCGCATGCCTAACCTGAAGGACATCACCGTCGACACTAGAGACATTGTGGCAAAGAGCAAGATCATGCACCCCGGACGGCTTCCCATTGACGAGGACTTGTTCCCTTGGCTCCATGTCTGGTACCGCCATTCAGCCGCCTTCAACCGCCTCTGGGCCGAGTTCAACACCCGAGATGTCCGCCTCTACGCCGTCGCTGGAGGTGTCAAGAAGAAGGGTGTTATTATCGAGCTCTTCCCCACTGATTCCGGCATCCGCATGCGATACCTACACCCAAACTGCACTTGCTGCGACCACAATGCCCCCAAGTACAGCACAATCTATCACAGCAAAAATAAGTGATGGGTGTCCTGAAAGGCCATATGTGGCAATCGAGCCTGAGAAGAGGAACTTTACGTTCACAAACAATGTCGACCTCGCCTTACGCCACACTTTCGGTTGTCGTGAATAATACCGTCTCTTTGCTATGGAAGATGGTCTTTCCCCCCCCCCTTTATCTTGGCCAGTTTTGGCTTGTTCACTGGGAGGATTTGTTTGGTAGATACAAAGGCTTGCTTGGTCTTGATATGTTGCTTGGTGCAACACAGTTGTCGTCTTTCCCAAGCATTGTAACAGAGTCCGAATCACTCTCAGAATAACGGACTCATTGGGGCGAGGCAAGGCTTAATGGATTGGTAGTTAGATGAGAATACAACAGGCTTCGCATTAATTCAAGTTCTTTCTTTCCTCTCCTATTTTGTGCTGGAAAAAAAAAAAAGAAAGAAGAAAAAGTGCCATTTTGTCTAGTTTCTCTTTCCATAATCAACCTTTTGTCTGCTCTTTGACACCAAGTTAAAGAGAAAAACAGCAAAACAGTCGCGATATCTATTCTCAGCCACGTTGCCTCTCCTTGTATGACTTTAAAGAACCCACATCTTGGGATTCTTTAACCCCGGATACATGCCATGGCTACAGTCCAGTCTGACAGCTACCGCACTACTCTCCATGACGACGTGCCAAGGTTGACCCTGCACACTCCCCTCCCCCCGCCAGCTCCTGCTGACCAGTGGCATCTCCATCGCAGGACTGCAAAAGACGACGCGCTATACACCCTTCATTCGGGGTCCTCAACCACACCCATGAATCCCCGACAATTCTCAGTCTTCTCGCGGGACATTGTCTCGTTTCCAACCTTCTGCGATGGGCACACGAGGAGCGTGCTTCAAGGCCGACCGGACCCTTTCCCCAACTCGACCACAGTCCCAAACTGTCGACGCTTCCGTCTTTTCCCAAGAGAGCAAAGCCTGAAGAAGATGTTTGCGACACTCCTGTCGAACATCTCCTGCGTAACGGCATAGTACCTGGGAGGCTCCTGCTCGAGACTCGAGAACCAGAGCGCGCACAGGTGAGCCGATGTCGCTGTGGCTGGAGTGTACAGAGCCACCCCGGCACTTTCCAGCGCGCTAGGCATACGCAGCGTGGCGTGGGAGGCGTTTACAAATGGGAGTCAGGGTGGCGACGATGCTACCGCGGCGAGGGGGGATTTTGTCAATTTTGACATAACGAGGAGCAGTAAATGCGAGGGACGAGTTGTCCCGTGGTTCTGTTCCAGGATAAGGAGAACGGCCTCGTAGTCCTTTTGGATTCAGTATGGCAATGAGCAGAGAGGTACACGGCGAGACGCAGGGTCAAGTTTCCGCCGGCATACGCATTTTTGATGGCAAACCCTCGCGCCAGGTCGCGACGCCGGCCCCGACATGCCAGGCTTCTGGGTCTGAGACATGGCATCCGCTGTCTGTATGAAGGGAATATGGAATCGAGCTGCGTGAAGAAAAAGCCAATCATGTTGTATGTTGAGCAGAAACGACGGCCTTGACAGACATTGCCAAAATTCAAGGGGGCCATGGTTTCCGCTTGGTCCTTGCCCTTCCCGAAGCCAGAAGAACGACAACACCACGAGCTAGGCGAATATCAATCTTTTCACAAGTCTTGAAGAAGAGCAGTATATGTGCCCTGAAATCCTGCACACGGCCCTTGACGCGAGCGTAATGTCATGAGATAGGAGGGCGGTCGCCAGACGGTGTGGGAGAGGGAGGTCACTTACCTCCCCGCGGCCTCCCGGCCCCTTCAACTTCCCCTCTTACCATTCATGCCGCCGTAGTAGATTCCGGGAAGCT